CTCAGGCGTGTCCTTGTCCCGCCCTTGCCATTGGAGCCCCAGCCCAAGCGAGTCTGGTGCACAGACATTATTTGTATTTACTGTTTCTCAGAGCAAAAAAGGATATTAAGTTATTTTCCCAGCATGCATTTGTTAAGTATTAGATGCTGCTTACAAATGAAACAGATGACCACTGCTTTGTCAATACTATGGGAATGCTTTCTGCGAAGTACCCGAGACAGGCATCTGAAAGCTGAATTACGGGCCCAGGCCAGGTGTGGAAAGAAATATAACCAGGGGTGCCTGGCCGTTTAAAACCCGTGTGCACCCCTCTCACTCGCCTCTTCCAGGAAGCCATCCAGGCTTAGTCAAGAGACAGTTCCTTCCACTGGGCGGACAGCGACCCAGGTTGGCTGAGACTCAAGCAATGTGTAGGGGAGGTTCATATGTTCCTTAAATGAACATAAAGCTGTAAACATAAAACGAGGAGCCACATTGAAGCAGCAGCCCCAGAAGCTGAGAGGCTTTGAGGTGCGAGCCTTGTCAGCTTCGTGACGGAGCTATTTCCGGCTCCATGTCCTACTCACGCACTGACCCTGTGCACGTGTGGTAAGCCACCTCCTGCCTGTTGCTTTTTCCCTCAGAGCCGGGGACATCCCTTGAGAGCCAGGGTTTTACTTCAAAGGCCTCCTGGCACTGCCTGGCGTGGCTCCTTTCACGTAGTAGCTCGGCGTGCGCACACCTGCAGTTTACTTGCTCTTCTCTAGGTTATAGAAATCTGAGGAATGAACTCTCAGGCACGCTGTACTGGACACTTCATGGAGGAGAGCTGTTGGCGGATCACCAGGCCCACTTGCTTCAGGGAGCAGGAATCCAGGTCTTCTCCGGCCAGCTCCCACCCCAGCGTCCTTACACAGGGGCGTCTGTGGCCCCGACTCTGCCTCCAGCTCCAACGGTGGGAGGCGACGAGCTCTGTCCTTCCCAGTCAGCACATTCCATCCTTCTTTAGCAGCAGCAATGACGCATGAGGTGGCATGTTCTAGGACTTCTGGGAGGGAAAAACTTCTCTTTCCCATGAGAGCTATTTGGGAAAACGCTCTCTCCCCTTTTGGAGAGCATGATGCGAGGGCTGGAGCGGCAGCAGCCGTTTTGGTAGTGAAGGGAGCGCTCAGGGGCCCCAGAGGCTGCCCGGCGGGGGTGAGCACGAAGCCCGCAGCGGGGGAGGAGGAGCCGCACGATGGGAGGCACCGGGTCCTGGGCAGCGTGGTCTGCATCACTGAAGAAAACCTCGTTGGAAACCAAGTCTCCCTCTGAATTTTTCAGTTCTCAGAACCAGTAACACTGATGCATTATTCAAGCTAATGAGAGCTCATGTGTCTGAGGCTTTCATTCAAAAGTTCTAACTGATACCACATGGAATTTCATGAAGCCAGTGTTATGTTGGGTATAAAGAAAGAAAAGGATTTTCAATTTCGTTTTTGGATGGTTTATCTCATAGCATCTTAAGTTTTTCTATGCAGTAAAAGAATTATAAATTCTAGAATTACTGACTGCTAGGAATTATTACTTGGATCCCAATTTTGTTTAGGAACAACTTCTTTTGTTGTTAGACATCTTTAGAATGTTCCTGGTTAATAATATCATTCAAATATTCCATTTCTTCCCATGATCTTTTAATGAGTAACAAACTATTAAATTTTTCATTTGTAGCCTTAATTATAACAACAAGAACTGCACGTGCATCTTAGTGGTCACGTCTTCACTGCAAAGATACTGCGTTATGAGTAATTTTTCCTCCCAATTATATTATTATACTTCAAATGTCATTTTCTCATTAGGCATATAATATGATATATTTTTGTACATTAAACTCTTGTTTATTAATGAGTTTTATACAGGAGAGTCTTGGGTTTCCAGCCCATTTGTAAGAAGTTCCTATTAAGAAATTCAATGAGGCATGGGAACAACGTGAGAGTAATTTATTAACATATCAAGAGGCTTTCATTTGCTAACATTTTCCTATCGGGTTGGTCTGACAGAATATGAAGAACAAATCGCTAAAGCTCGCAACAATGTGGAATCGGCAGGGAAACTATCTACAGAAGTAAGAGCTTACGGGTTCAAATGCTCGCAACATGAAGACTCCATACTTGTCGCGCGCTGCCTCATTTATTTAGGTTGAGTCTGTTCCCTCTCCTGCCTACTGAACAGAGCGCAGAGCTGGGAGAGCACACGCAAGGCACAGAGGGGACGGTCGTGCCTAAGGGAACACAGGTTGAACGTTACTTTTGAACACCTGAGAAATGCTTATATATTCTAGTTACTATAGAAACAGGGCCTTCCTGGTTTATTTCATGTTACCTACATAGACTAAAAATCTGCATTTTATCATATGTCTTCTATAATCCATGTTCATTGCAATGAAGGCCATATTTTCCTTGGTTGGGACAGGGTTTCAAGGACACCTGAGTCCAGCATCTTAGAGCAGTGAGCGCGCACCCTCCGACCTGGCACTGTCCGCTCCACATCGTGTTAGTTGTCATGAACGTGGGCCTCGCAGAACTTGGTTGCTCTCCGAGTTCTCTTCTCGGCTTTGGACTTGACTGCGCCTAAGAAGGCTGTGACTTTGCTTATTTTATTAACTCCTGCATGTCCCTCCCCCGAGCGCGGCGCTTGACGTGGAGTCAGTGTGTGACATGTCTCTGTTCCCTGAGCTGCAGGGAGGACGAGGGGAGAACTGGAGGTAAGAAAGGCCCCTCGCTCCATCAGCGCCCTCTCACTGCGGCCGCCCAGCTGACTTCAGAGGAGGGCCTCCCTCCACGTTGTGAAAATAATCCGAAGTAGCTTCCGCCGTAGTCGGCTTAGGAGGTTTCACTATTATATTTCCTGCTACTTGGGAACCTACCTTAACATTTTTAGTTTACACTTTCTTATATATGTGTTTTATAGGACCTGTCACATAATGGTCATTCAGTTAATGTTGAATGAGGCGCATTCAGATAAGATTTTGTTTAAAGAACTAGTCTGACAGGTTTGTCCTCACACTGATGATGAGTTCTCTGGGTTTTGTTTTACACCCAAAGTCGCCCATCAGCCTCGGCAAGTGAAGTCCAGGGCGCACACCATGCAAATGCTCTAATTCCTGTAAGGGAGTCACAGCCTGCTCTTCTCGTCGGTATTTAAAACAACTCAAGTAGCAGCTACCCTGCTGATTCCTACACTCTCTCCAGACGCGCTATCGCTATCGCACTAGCTGTCTGCCAGGCACTATTCTAAGTCCTTTACGCTAATTAACCATCAACCCCCCCCCCCCGCCCCCCCCCCCCACAGCCTATTATTTGGTCCCTGTTATCCAGGGGAAGACACCGAAGCAAAGAGAAACGAGGCAGCCCCGCCGAAGGCCCGGAGCCAGCGAGCAGCCCTCGGGGTCGCCCACAGGCAGCCCCGCGCCGGAGCCCTGGCCCGACGCCGTCTGCCGCCCCACGCAGTGCCCGCGACAGAACACGGCCGCTTACGATGTCCTGCTGCAGGGAGTGGGTCACGGGGAAACTGGATTTGTCCCTGGAGGCGCAGCCCCGTGAACTGCGACGTGTCCGTGCGCCCATGTCTGCCCAGTTGTCTGCGTAGGGTAACTGGTGAAGGAGCTTTGTTCAGTCCGATCGTACTGGAGAAATTACTGTATGTGCAGCCAGGCTGGCATTCAAGCGCTAGCATTATTGTTCCCCTCCTAGTGAGTGTCAGTGAGGGGCCGGCTAACTGACGTCTTGGGTCCCTTTAGCATCCATACTGTCATCGCTAAATTAACAATGAGCTGGAAGCTAAGATTTGAGTAAAAAAAAAAAAAACTTCACATAAAATGAAGAAATGAGAGGGTGAATGGCAGATAAAAACATGTAAAAACTAATATGCAGGCTTTCAAAACAGGCTGAGCAGTATTCCATGTGTGATAGGAGCGAGAGCCAACATTCACGAAGAACCTCCGCGTGCCGAGCACTGTGTCGCTTTCGTTAAATGCACACATCATTTGTTCTTTACAACCATACGAGAGGATAGTATTATTAATCTCATAATACAAATGGGGAAACTGAGGCTAAGAGAAAGTGGTTACAGTGAGTCGTGGAATACAGAACTTCAACTTGGGTGAGCCCAGTTGTCAAAGGCAAGAGCAGGGGCGCAGAGTTAAAACCAACCTGTGGGAGTAATTGCAAACCGGCCGCGGTGCCCACTTCCCCGCACACAGGGCTCACGCCGCCTGGCCCGTGGGCTCATCCCCCTCCTGCCGCCCAAACCGAAGACACTCGACACATCTTTCAGCCTGCGGCGGGATGCCAAGCCCGACCGCCACGCAGCTGAGGCGGGCACACTCGGCGTCCGAGCGCAGAGGCTTCACCTGGCCGGAGCGCGCAAGCCCCAGGGCTGGCTCTGCAACTGGCCCTGGAGAGATCTCCGGCTTAGCTCCCAGTTCCTCGCTGCACTTCAAAGAGTTTTGTATCTGCCTTAAGTCTCCTCTGGACAAAGGAGGTAGACTACCCCCAAATTCGCTTTTCCCTCTTATCCCCACTAGGTATTTTTTTCCTTCCCCATTGTGGGGCCAAATCTTAGCAGAACCTGGATAAAGCGGTGAGCCTTGACTTCCTTGCCAAGCTCCCCTACGGTGTGAGTGATGGTGAAGATCACATGTCTTATCACCTCAGAAATACATCACAGGGATCATTGGCTAGCATATTTTGCCCTAATTTGGGGTGTCTTCCCTTGACCTTTAACACTTAGGGAACCTGAGCAACCTCGCCGCACACCTGCTCTTTCCCAATACCCGCCCCACTTCGCCTGTGCTAGCACCGATGCATCTCCTTGCAGCTTAAGTCCTCTGCTAAAGGTTGATGCCATTCAGATGCTGACTACAAAAGACGACAACCAGGTTTACTTTCTGAGAAGCATTCGTTGAACAGACATGCTCGGGTAGAAACGTTTTTGGCACACAGCTTTAGGAAGAACAGGGGCTTCTGTTATCGAAAAGCTACCTTTGATAGATCCCTGAAGTTTCCCGGAAGAGTCAAGTCCAGTTCTTCTGATTCATAGTTTGTCAAGACCCAGGGAAACACGGGGTATTGGTTCAGATCATTATACGTCCGTCCTAGAAAAGAGAGAAGTGAAAGTCTATATATACCAATTGATGGTGAAATTACTCCTGTCCTTGTAATAGATACAACATCTATTGAATTTCAGAAGAAAAGGAACTCTTTTGCTCATTGAACTACATCTTTGTTTAATCAAAAGCACTCATAACAATGCTTCAAGTGAATTCACTCAATAATAATGACTAACTACAATTACTTTTTTTATAGTAGAAGCTTGTGTAGAGAACGTTGTTGGCCACCATCAATTTCTCTTCTTCCTGGGAGGCACAATGTCCCCCAGCCCCCTGCCCCCTGGACAGCTCTCCCGACGGGGACTGGTGCCGACTGGCACAAGCTGAGCAGAGCGGCCTGTGCCACGTGCCATGGGGTGCCTCCAGGCCGCGGCTCTCTTCTGCCGACTACGACCAAGATGACGTTGCCACCCCGGAAGTGGAGCCTTCTTGGCCGGGGACCCTGGCAGTGGTCGTGGATGAGGTCCCCGGAGGACCTGCGTCCCTGAGGTCATGCAACATATTCTACTATAGGGAGTGTGTATGTAGACAGGACGTGGCCAGTACGGAGAACCCTCTATGCGCTTATATCGAGAATCAGTGCTACATCAGTGCCGACAGCGTCTGGCAGAAGCGTGCACATGTAGTGATGGATGGCAGGCAGGTGCTGCCCCGTCCTCGCACCGGCTGGGGGAGCTGAGGGGCTCCCAGCCCGTCCCCCCGCCCTGCAGGCATGTGTCAGGCTAACGCATACCCTGTGGACCGGTCTGTATCTCCGCTGGCCCCGCACCTGGGAGGCGGGCTCTGGGGTCGCCCGCTCTCTCCCTCTCTGCATGGGTAGGTGTGGTTTAAATCTCCTTGTACTGGCACACACTCTTTACCCAGCAAATGTTTGTGGAAGGGATGGAGACGTATGTGATAACAACGAGCCAGATTTGAACAGCTGCGCAGGCGTAAGCCAAGGAAGGGAGGAAAATGACAGGACAGTCTCTTTGGAGGGGGAGATGGAGAGGTGACAGAGGAAGGCGCTCTGACTGTGCACGTTAGACAGAAAGGACGTCCGCAGCCACACGGCCCAGCCAGGGCGCACCTGCTCCGAGCTGGTGTCTACTGTGCAGAACAACGCCGAGGAAGACACAGCACGAGGGCCTAGCAATGCATTCAAGTCCTGTACAAGTGACAGTGTTCCAAGAAAACAGTATCCTTGTGAGCTACTCAAATTTTAAACTTATCACTGACTTATCAGCTCCAGATACGGTTACCTAGGGGCCTGATTAGCCTCAGCCCCTTTCCTGCGCGCGCGCACACACACGGAGCCCGGGCCGGCTGCGCAGAGCTATTTCTGGGCTCCAGCTGGGCCCTGGGCTGGTCAGTGCTGTGCCACGTTCCAGATCCCGCTCGACCTAACCAGCTGTGGATTTAATGAAAAAACAGCTCTCCCGGTATAGAAGTATATTTTTATAGAGTAATGGTGATACTATTTATATAACATACAGTTATGTTACTTACATAAATAATTTAATAGCTGAAAATTAGATACCATAATTATTTTTTAATTTTCTGATGAATTTTTATAAAATATGCTAAGGGAAAAACTGTCAAAATAAATAAAAAGCCAAATTACATTAACTCAGTATGTAAATGTAGCATATAAATACAAACAGCATAAAAACGGAGCCCATATTTGAAGACAATAGCCTTTTAACAGAAGTGTTTTTCTAATAAGGGAAAAGATATAATGGGGTTTTTGGAAAAAACACCAAGACTAGAAAAAGCGTCGCCTGTTACACACAGCACAGGCGGGCGCCGGTGGCGCAGAGTGCGGCCCCTCCCGGCTGGGACTCTCTTACGCAGGATTCGCATGGTTTGCTGCACTGCAAAAGCTTATTGTACCTTTTAAAGTCTAACAAATACAATAAGCTTTATAAATAAAGGTACTTACACAGTTACATTAAAGATTTCCATGTAAAAGCCTCGCAACATGAACAGTTGATACATATTTTTGATTTGAATAAAAAATATACTGCATTTAAAAAGCACATGGACCAAAAGAATGACTAAATGGCACTTTGGGATTATGCATTCATAAGTTTCAGCCATAAATTAATATTATTTATTTTACTGAACACTTTTGTGAAATAAAAAGAAAATTGCTGTTCACTAAGTTAACCAATAGAAGGGAAGTACTTCCAAAGTAATGCCTGTTGGGGTCTGGCGCTTCTGGGAACTCATTTGTCAATTGTCCCATTTTTAATTATTTTTTGGAATAACTGAAATTTAGTAAACAACCTTGTGCTGCAGTTGGTAAGGTTCTTTCCTTTTCCAGCAGTAGTAAATACAGATTTTTTTTTTTTTTTACTAACTATGCTCATAAGGATTTCTCTTAGATGATGAATATTAAATGTCGCAAGCCTGTGACACTAATCTACTCCAGCAATAATAGTGAAGCGCAGTAAATGAGAGCTCAGAAACATCGGGTATGTTTCTGCACTTTAAAAAAAAAACCCAACTTTTTAATTAAACCATCCAATTTAATGTTTTCATATGGCACTTCAGTTTTGAAGGTAAAGTGATCTAGAGACAGCTGACAAAGAAATTATAACTGCAACTCCTTGGTGAAAATGTTAATGACAGCAAAATATTGTTTAATTAGACGATCGCAGCGTCTGGATTCGCGCTCTTTAAGGACGGTGTTCCTGGGCTTGTCGGCGTCTTCACGCTTTACAGACACTTTGTCATCTCTAGGTCATTAGGAAGGAATTTTTAATGATTTTTCTAGAAGCAAGCAGTTCAAGTTACATCTAATTAGATGACAATAATACGCCCAACACATGCAGTAGCTAAATATATACATAATTAACCAAGGAGGACTTGCACATCACAGAGGAAAAAAGTGGAAAATGCTAAACAGGAGAGAAAGGTTGGCGTTGGGGGAAGTTATGCCGAATTCATTGGCTGATCACATGAAAAACAACTCAAAAGCCTTTAAAAAAAACCCTCCAACCTAACGGGATCATTTGCACAAAGCTACGTTAGCAGTCAGTCAGCTATTTTTTCTTAATGCGAGGATGTCAGATTTTAACATCTTGTTCATGGGGTTATCTAAGAAGGTATAAAATGAGGCATAGGTTGTACCTTTCAGAACACAGCGCACAGAAATCAGGTCAACTCCAGGCATGTGCGGGGGGAGCCTCATTTTTAGTCCAAGTCTAGGCATCATTAAAATTCATTTACATAATTTTTCAAAACTTTATGTTCTTTGAAAATTTTAAAAAAACAACCATGTGTTTAAAAAATAGTGAAATACATTACACCACTGCCCTAAGTTAGGCATTTAGGCAGTTTTAAAAATCATGCCTTCAAAGAATATTCGATGAAACAGACAAGAGGAATTGGAACCTGTGTGTATAGCAGGTCCACAGGGATCTGTCACACAGACCGAAAAAGGAGAAAAACCACCACAACGTTACCTTTGATATTCGTGGCCAGGCTTACCAGGAATGTAATTTTTAATTATGCTTTTCCATATTTCCAACTTCCTATGAGTATTTATTAAATTTATAAATAGAACAAAGGGAAGACCATAAAAACATTTATGGGCTTTTAGGTATCTTTAAAAGTGATGGTTTCTGAATATTTGATGTTTCTTTTACTAGGTAAAGTATCTTAGCAAAATTCACATACACAGAGTAAAACATGTGTTTATGTGCAATGATGTATATATACGTATATCACATGAGAGTCTAAAATATCTAACAATGCATTAATACTCAGCAACTGCTGCCATGTACTTTATAGGCTCATTTTTAAAAGCATCCTGTAAGGAGAAAAGCAAAATCGGCCAAGTATGGCAGACCTCAAAAACTGGAGAGCAAGGGATGGGTCATACAATGTACTTTGTATTTCATGATAAAATAATCATTTAGAGAAAGAAGGTAGATCTGAGAGTACAAGATGATAAATAAAATCTTTTAACATATAATGTAAATTTAAGTCACATCGACCTCTGTTTTTACAACTGGGTCGCCAGAAAACGCTGTTTCATCTCCTCGATCAGACCCCAGTCCTGTCACTCTGCGCTGGAATCCGGGGAATCTCATGAACGCCGCCTCCGCCACTTTCAGGGCACTCCCACACCAGGCCACAAAACCACGCCAACTCTTCCAAAGCAGAGATGCTAAGTCACCTTGTTTATTACCATAAAGAGGACACGCGCTCGCCAGGGCCACTGAAGGACTGAAAGTCCACTGAGACGAAGCAAGAGCCCGGCGTGCTGCCCGCGCCTGAGGGCACAGAAGGTGGCACGTCTGGGAGTCCCTTCGCGTGGGATGGAACGCCACGCTGCGTGTTAACCTAATTGCACCGACGAAATTGAGCTCTTTATATCTGGGGTGTTTATGTTCCTTCCGTCTGCACATGCTAATTGGTATAGCTCTTTCCTTTTATCTCTGACCTAGTGAATAGGTTTAAGATATATACATTATGTGAACCAATACATAAATAATATGAATAGACATAAAATATGTCATGAAGCTATCAGAAGATATATATGTGTATAATAGAGAAGTATACATAAAATATATAATGTAAAGTTTAATATATTTAACTTTATCACACATGTATGATAGCCTCACAAACACTTGCATTACACCGCGCTGCTTTAAGCGACAAGTCAGAGAACACGGCTCTCAATCCATGATTCTGAGCATGCGCCCTTCACAGAACAGCACCGGCAGGCAAGCATATGTACTTATGTGGTTATTTAAATTCATCTGACTGCAAAAAATTTTTATAGCACCTGATTTACAAAAGTAAACTGTAATTCAACGTGAATAAGGTCTTTTGGAGCTTCCCTTCGGAAAAAAAAATGAGGCCCTTAAATCTCTCCGACATGTTTAACCACTGACAACCACCAATGCGGCGGAAGTGCGGAGCGCGGCCTTCTTTTAATTTGTAAGCATGGCTCTGCGGAGGTGGGCGCGGTGACTCATCATTTAGACATGTAATCTGATTTCATATTTTTATTTGAAGATTTTAAGGGAAAAAAATGCTGTAACCCAATCATGCCATGATGCAGACAACATGTGTACTAGGCAGAATCCCGCTGTTACTCTGCTGTCTAGCTGCCGCCGCTGAGAATGACAAAGTAGCGAAATTACATTTTCCCGTTATTATTTCCAGTCATTCTCTGGCAATGGTTTGTTGACTCTAATAAACCTTCAGACAAAGCTGTCAGCAAAGAAAATGGTAGAAGGAGAGCAAGGAAAAGCCTCTCTAACAATAAATGCACCCAAAACCTTGGTCCTGGCTGGTACGATTTCCGGTGACATTTCATGGGACAGAGAGCTTCCCTATTTAGTCTAATGCTGCATTTGAATTCCAAGGAGGAGAATGTGTTCCGTGAAGCCGCATGCTCCATGATGCTGATGAACATAAACACATTGCGCGAGGAAAGAACGAGGTGCCTTACCCGCGATGGTGTTAAGGAACATCAGGTACTCAAAGTTGGAGATCTCCCTTCTCTGCCATCGCTGCGTCATGTTGGAGGATTTATAGAGTTGCCGCGGGGTGGCCAGCGAGATCCTCCTGGCGATGAAGCAAAGCGCAACACTCATGGTCTCTTGTCACTCATGACTCTTTAAAAAGTCAGTATTCACGAGTACATTTCAAACAATTTACAATAAATAAATTATTTAAAATAATTTAAAATGGTTATGGAGTGTCCTTCTTGGATAAATTACGTAATACATTTTAATTGCAGATATTAACAATATTGAAAACTCTCTCGTAGCGAAGATATGTAGGTACTCAGGACAGACCAGTGTGCAAGGACCTATTTGAATAACATGGGTGTGTTGCAAGTCAGCAAGGCCACAAATGTGCAAGAGTGCTCAAAATTAGTGAAAGTATCTTTCCAACAACACAGAAAATCTGCTCCACGCTAAGAAGCCAGGCAGGCGGTCTGGTAGCAGCAGATAAGCACTTGACTTAAACTTCACATGAACATCCCCCCTGCCCCCCCCACACAAAGAGCGTGTCCACACACACAGCCTCTGCCCAAACAAAACGCATCCCTTGGACGATGGAAAGACAGACACGGGGAGCTGAAACGAAGCCAGAAGAAGAGACACAGGAACGGCCTGAGGGCCATCCCTGTGAATTAGGAAGCTTTCCAGGCTGAGTGTTTATCTCAACAATAATGAGAGCTGGCTGTGTCTGTAGAAGTATGAGAAGCCTGATGCGTTTCTAAAACGAGCCCTGCTTCAGACAGAGGCCTCTGCGTCTCGGGCACCGGCGTGCAGTGCCCCAGCCCGAGGGGACACCTAGCAGAGCTGGTTATCGAATAGCAGGGTCTAAATAGCTTAAACATAGTTAGGTCTTAACAACGGAGTAGCTGATGGAAAACGTGGAAATATAACACACGTGGAAAGAGAAGCAGCACTTTTATGTCATGTTTTAAATCTCCACAATTACTCACTAAAAGGCGGGACCTGCTGGGCACTGCACAGCCTCTTAACCTCGACGCCCCCCTGCCCCAGCTGCCCCCGCACCTCCTGTCCCCATTTGCTGGCATGCAGGGCGTGTCTGGGACCACAGCAGCCGCCGACACCTGGTTTCACAAAGCTGAGGTGCCAGGATGACGACGCTGCTGCTGCTGAAACTCCGCACCAGCGGAGCCGAGAGCTGCGTGCGGCTGACGGGTGCCGCCGCTGGGTCTCCCTGAACACCCTGCGCGCCCTGCAGCGCCCGGGAGTCCCCGAGAGGGCCCAGGGTCGCCAGGGGGCCAGGGCGGGACTGCGGGCTGGAGACGCGCCTTGTCATGCATGTATTATTGTCGGATATTTATTTCTGTTCACGTGGAATCTTAACAGACACCGTCTTGTGTGTCGCCGACACCCGTCAGTTTGTTTGCTCCATGCTGTATGTGTCAGTGAAGGAGAAGGAAGGAGGGAAGCCAGATGGGATGAGACCTGTTTTCTCAAGTTCAAATATCAATGAACAACTTTAAGAATTATGGGTCACTCCACGTTGAAACTATCAGCTTGAGAAAGCGTAGCAGCCTGACCACGGGCTGCTGGATGCAGGGCTGGCACAAATAACGCCCCTTCTCGTTGTAAAACCACCGCAGGCCGTCCGGTAGCGTAACAGCGGCGCGCTCGAGCACGCCGCCCGGGCCTTTAGGAGACACGTTCAAATTAAAGCGCTAAGCTATCATACCCACACTGTCGCCCTGCCAACCACACTCAAGCAGGCGTTCCTTCTGCCGTGCCCCGCAGATTGGAGGTAACAGGCCCCACTGACTCCAAAAGCACCCCGGGTCGGATGACCTGCCGGAGGGCGACGGGATGTGGCTGACATAGTTCACGCTCTGATTCTGTAATTCGGTGCATTTTTCAGTTAAGTCATGGTATGGCTTCCAAGGGGCCACCTAAAGGCCCCTGGCATGTGGGTCCACACTGACACCGACACCCAAAATTGCCCCGGGGTGAGGGGGGGGGGTCACTCCCCAACACAGCTGTTCCAGGTTACAAACTTTCACCTGCTTCACGGCAACATGCGAAAATGTTTTCTGAATCACCAATAATTCGCAGGCTCTGCTTTCGTGTCCATGTGCTACTATTACAACCACATGCTCACCCCAATTTGCACTGTCACTATTAGAACCTGTTCTGGCTTCCCCGGCCGCAACGCCCACCTGCAGCCCATGCGGCCTGCGAAAAGCTGGGCCTGCAATACAGTTTGGAACCCCTTGGCTGACATGTTGAGCCCAGGCACTGCGAGAAGGAAACTGCCGGTCTGGGAATAATTCTCACTCCCCAGGTACCCCACGCCAGGGACCAGGCAAACCCTACCGGGCGTAAACACCGGGAATCGTGGGAGAAAGGTGTCCTGCCGTCCCCCGATGTGTGACAGTGCAGGAGAGCGCGGGCCCCCGGGACGAGCCCAGGCGAGCGGCCTGCGGCCTGGTTCGGGAAAGGCTCTGTCCGCCCTGCCCGTGCCTGGCTCCCCCGCGGGCTCGCCGAGGGCAGGGCCGCTCTGGGCGTCCTTGCCATGTGGCCTCCGCACGCAGTGCGCTTGGCACGGTGGGGTCTCAGTGAGTGAGTCCACACTTACGGACGTGGGCGCTGGGTCCGCTGCCTTAGCAGAAAAGTGGCTAAAGAGAGATGCGATCCTAAATAAATGACATAATTCAGTCATGTGAAGGAGAAAATGGGGACCAGAGAATTAGTAAGCTGTTCAAAGTCCTGCCACGAGCTTAGAGGGTTGGATGAGGACAGTGGGTACATGGCGGGGCTGCAGCAGGGTCCCCTTTGAGGGGGGATGACGCAGAACCAGGACTGCCCTCTGAAGGGACAACTATGAACGCTTTTTCTTACCGCCAAAACAAAGGATGGCCATTTAAAATAACTGAGCCTGTGACTACAACCAGGTGTCTCCTTCGCAAGCGAAGAATCGAATTAAACCCGGAACTGACCGGCGTTCCTGCGTTCGCGAGGCAATGGGAGGCGGCACGGAGCACGGAGCAGGGGCAAGCATTTCCCGTCACTAAGCAGGGCGGCAGGTGTGACTCCGGAGACCAAGGTGGTCGCCTGGATCGAGGACTCAGAACAGAAATTAAGAGAGCGGGCGATGGCCTCTGGCAAGACAAAGAACTTATCTAAATCGAAAACTGCCTGTCTGTAACCCTGGATAAGGATACCCTTGTTTTTCAAATGTGGTGGTTTTGAGAAGAAGGGCGGAGACCTTGCTTCTGCCGCGGGAGGCCGCGTGGGAAGATGCCGCCGATGAACCAGAAGGCGGGTCTCGTCAGACACCAAAGCCGCCAGTTCCTTCACATGAGGCTTCCTGCCGCAGAACTGTGAGAAATCGATGCCCCTTGTTTATAAGCCAACACCCCCCATAAAAAAGAATGAAGGGAATGAGTACTAAAACCTTAAACTCTCAGTCTAGTCCCTGGCCCAGGAGAAATGCTCAGTAAATGAGAGCTATGGACTTTAATTAATCAAAAGGGCACTCCTTAGACGATGCTAACTTAATGGAAATATTCCCCTTGTTCTAAATCTTCACTCATTAAGCAACAATCTGATCTCTCACGTGGTCTCTTGTCTCGATGATTTGCGAAGTCATTTATTCTTGCAATATGGCCTTTCCTGAATTTTATAATCTTTTGTTTGTTTATAAATCAGTCTCTTTGGGGTTTAGCTTACAGTAAGTCTCCTAGAGTTTGATAAAGTCTGCTGAAACTGACAAAAGTCAAAGCCAGCTAACAAAAACGGTCCGCAAAGGAAAACAAAGACCAGATGCCTTAGAGGTGCGGGAAGGCTCCTTGCAGGGGCCAGCACCGCCCTTCCCTCTGACAACGTGCTAACGCCACCTGACACCTCACACACAAGTTGGGGGAGGCACGTGTGTGTAGCTACGGAGCTGCCCACCTCCCCACTTACCTGTCTACCTATCTACCTGCGTGTGCGTGCATGCACGTGTGTACAGTGTTTATGTGTTTACACTTTGACAAAGGGCCTTCACTCAGTGAGCTCAGGACCTTCCTGATCGTCTCTCTGCAGAGATGCTGCGGGTGAGAGAGTCATTCTCCCGACCTAGCGTGGGCCATTCCTGCAACATGTGGCGACTTCCTGCTAAGCACCAGGCGCGGCTGCGGCTACCCAGCCGGCAAACAGCAGGCCCACGCGAGGGGCAGCGTTCCCTGACCCCCAGCCGCTGCACAGAACGAACCTCTGCGCCTACTATTAGGGAACTAGGAAGGAGCTGAGCGTTTGGTCGGGGAGCCAAAGACAATGAAAGAGTCTCTTAAGATAGGATGGTGGAATGAAGGAGCAGCGGAACCAAAGCTATGGAAATCTATCTTGTTTCCAGTTTTTCTCTCAAGAATAATGATTTTCCAAAAGTCAGAGAGACTGAATGTGGTTAAAAAGGAAAGAACAACCATAGCAGGTAAGGAAGCTAGTCAGAGAGCTTCTGGTTATTTTAAGTGAATTCGGGTCCAGACAAGTGGAAGATGCTGAAGGGGGGACCCGTATGTCCCTGGCCCTGCGGTGGCCTCTGAAGAGCCCAGGCCATGAGGAGGACACCAGGGGACAAATCACTTTTACAAAGGAAAAAGGCAGAACGATTTGAGAGCTCTTAATGACAAGTCCTGGAAAAATCCCTGAGCTGAGGATTAAACAAGCCGCCTGTCCGCCCCGGGAAGGGAAGCAGTGGCCACCGCGAGTCAGCGGAGATCCAGGCAGAGCAGGGCTTGCAAAACTAACTTCATTTTCTTGACAGATTAAATGCATTTTTCCCTTTGACCTGTATTTTATAAAAGTATTTCATTATCTACTAGTGGCTTAATTTAATCTTGTCCGTCCACCAGCAAATCTCCTGTGCGAGAGCAAACATGTCAGTAAATTGCTCTTACGCTGTGACTGAGAGAATAAATACACTGCAACGCGAGGTAATGTTGCTTGAGCAGCACTTAAAAAGCACCTCCGCAATTAGGTGCTGTGCGAGGTCCTGCAGGTTAAAAGATAAACAAGACGCAGTCCCTGTCTTCTCGATGTCTGCAGCCTACTTAAGGGCAGACAGACAAAGATTGGTTTTCTCCTCCTTCCGGGCAGCGCTTGGCAGCCGTTCCCAGGGACGTCACTGTCTCCCCAAAGCTGCCCCTCGCCTCCTCGCCCAGAGACACCTGCTGTTGTTTATTTTCTTCCCAGGTGCAGAGGTCCATTTTGCAAACAGGACACCAACTGAGTCCAGATGCCAGGGATCCCTGGAACCAAGCTGGCGACTCCAGACCTTTTACATCAAAAACAAAAACTAAATGGCAAAGAACCTGATCTTTTAAGCCACATTTGGTCATGTATTCAGGTACTTGAAGCCCAAAACTCACTGACTGATGTTAGTGATACACAAAATTTACTGTTTTCTACTTAGATTAGTACCTCCAATAAACTAAGATTTCAAAAGGATGCCTTAAAGATGCCAAGATGAAAAATTTAGGAAATGGTTATAATCACACCATAATTAATGACTATGAATCTCCATAAATTCTGGGAGTTCTTTTACTTTAATGAAGAAGTATTTATATGAACAATTTATTTGCTATTATGTTACAATCACAAACAGCATGAGGCTTTTGGTATGTTTCTTGTAAGATTGCAAGTAAAATGTCTTAATTATATACTAGCTATGATATTCAATCGACTTTTTTCCTCCCTCATTTATATATGTGGTATATAAAATTATGCCCTACCTACTCTGTCATTCTTAAAATAGCTGTTTTTATAACCTATTTCCCTACAAATAACCTGCAGAGAAAAACAGTTCCTTGGTTCTCAGAGTAATTATAAAGGTATAACCCTATTTATATTTCTATCATATTGAAAATGAAATACGTTTAGGAGCTTCCTGTCAAGATGGCGGCACAGGCAGACATGGTTCGCCTCCTCACACAACCACAGCAAATTACAACTGAAATATAGAACCACCATCACACAGAACCGCCAGAAATCAACCTGAATGAAAGTCTGACAACAACGGAATTAAAGAAACCACGTCCAGCCAGATTGGTAGGAGGAGCGGAGATGTGGAACAGGCTGGTCCCTCACCCACGTGCAGTGGATAACAATTCAGAAGGGGTATCTCAGGAGTAAGGGGTCCCAGGCCCCCCCCCAGCCCAGGGTTCCAGTGCCAGGGAGATAAGCTCCCACAACTTCTGGCTGCAAAAACCAGTGGGGATTGAGTCTGTGGAAGAAACCTCTGGAGCCCCAAGCAGTTCCTCATAAAACTTGCACAGACTCACCTACTCAGACTCGCTCCCTCTGAGCTCTGGCGCTGGGTGCCAGCCTGAAGGGCACCAGTGGACTGCTGGGAGAGGCTGAAATGTCAGGCGCCAGGGTGAGCGGGGGCCACTGTCCCTTTTCTGAGCCCTCCCCCGCAGCGCCACGGAGCTGGCAGGATCCTGCCATAGCTGAGACTCCATCAACCTGGCTCACACTGTTTGACCTGCCTTGGAGATCCTGAGACTCCGCCGCACCCAACTGCTGCTCCACAGGAATGGCTGGTCTTGCTTCCGGACGTCCTGAGTCCTCGCAAACGAGCGGCAGCTGGCCTCAGGGAGCCCCAGGCCCGGCACCAGCTGCAGCAGCCCAGGTTCACAGCTTGGCTTCACCTGGGAATCTCCAAGCCCAGCACAAGTAGCAGCCGCCTCAGATCGCTTTATGGCTCAGGGAGGCTGCCTTGGGCAAAACACGGGTGGGGGTGACCTTGGCCTGCACCATCCGGAAACCCCAGGGCCAGCGCACCCGGTGGTCAGCTACAGACCACCCTGGAGCCCCACCCGGCCCCTGCACAGCGGATCCTCCACGGAGGGCGGAGGTTGGTGGTCAGCGGTCACAGCCAGTCCTTGCAGCTGACTGGCCTGGGTGAATCCCTCCCACTGACCTGCCAACAGCAACTGAGGCTCAACTACTAGAGGAGGGTGTACTCAGCCCACACGAAGGATGCACCTCGAGTACCAGCGTGGGTGATGGGGGAGGCTGTGTCACGGGACCCTACAGGACACCCACTACATTAGGCCACACTAGCAAGACATGGAGTCAAAGCAGCTCTACCTTATACATAGAAACAAACACAGGGAGGCTGCCAAAATGAGGAGACAAAGAAACATGACCCAAATGAAAGAACAGATCAAAACTCCAGAAAAAGAGCAAAATGAATGGAGATAAGCAACCTCTCAGATGCAGAGTTCAAAACCCTGGCTACGAGGAGGCTCAGGGAACTTAGTGAGGACCTCAGCAGCATAAAAAAGGTCCAGTCAGGAAAAAAGCCTTCACTAACTGAAATAAAGAACAAATTACAGGGAAACAACAATAGAGTGGATGAAGCCGAGAATCAAATCAATAATTTGGAACATAAGGAAGCAGAAAACAACCAATCAGAACGAGAGGAAGAATAAGGAATCCATAAATATAAGGGTAGTATAAGCCTCTGGGACAACTTCAAGATGTGAACCACAGGGGTGCCAAAGGAGAAGAGAAAGAGCAAGAAATGGGAAATCTATTTGAAAAAATAATGAAAGAAAACTTTCCTAATCTGGCAAAGGAAGTAAACATGCAAGTCCAGGATACACATAGAGTCCTGATCAAGTTGGTCCCAAAGAGGACCACACCAAGACACATCATAATTAAAACGCCATGGGTTAAAGATAAAGAGAATATTACAAGTAGCAAGAGAAAAGCAGAGTTGCCATAAGACTCTCATAAGAGTTGTCATAAGACAAAGGAGCTCCCATAAGACTGCCAGCTGATTTCTCAAAAGAAACTTTGCAGGCAAGAAGGGACTGGCAAGAAATATTCAAAGTCCTGAAAAGCAAGGACCTACAACCTAGATGACTCTGTCCAGCAGAGCTGTCACTCAGAATGGAAGGGCAGAGAAAGTGCTTCCCGGACAAGGTAAAACTAAAGGGGTTCATCATCAGCAAGCCCTTATTATAAGAAATGTTAAAGGGACTTATTTAAGAAAAAGAAGATGAAAACTATGAACATTAAAATGACAACAAACTCACAACTATCAACAACTGAATCTAAAAAACTAAAACAAAAACAAACTAAGCAAACAACCAGAATAAGAACATAACCACAGAAACGGAGATCATTTGGCGGGTTGGCAGCTGGGAGGGGGAAGAGGGGGAGTGAGGGAGAGTGAGGGGGAAGGCACAGGGATCAAGAAGCTTAATCGGTGGGAACAACAGACAGGGAGGGTAAGTGCAGTGCAGGAACGGGAGACGCCACAGACCTTACACGCACGACCCATGGACTTGAGCTGAGGGGCAGGGGAACGGCTGGAGGGGAGGAGGGAGGGGGGAGGGGGGCAAAGGGGAAAAAATCGGGACCACTGGAAGAGCATCATCAATAAAATATACTGATAGAGAGAAAACGAAACACGTTGAAAAACCCACAGGTAACATGCCCCACGCTCCAAGTACCTGGCTTGTGGCAAACCGTAGCTGGTCCCGACCCCAACCCGGGGCAAGCTGTACACGACCTTCTTCACCGTCGCCTGGTCCGGGAAGTTAAACATAACCGAGGCTGTGGATGGAGGCGAACACGACTTAGAAAAACGCAGGAGAGCCAACCACCAGTTTCAGAAACCATTTTCAAGGGCTTATCACCATTTACTTGTAAAGGGAACGTATCTTCATGGAAAATCACCTGTCTGTATAACTTTATCCATGAGAACTCTAGGATGAACATTTCTAAACGCGTTAATGCTGTTTCATTTTTATTTTAGTAAGGGAGTAACGAAGAGAAATACAGCAGAGAAAACCAAGACAGAATTACACGGTGTAATGAAGAGCATTCACGTACGAGCACATTTTCTTTTGAGATATTTAAGGGGACTTACTCCGGTTTGCCATAAATACTTCCAGAGCTGTGTTTTGCAGAAGGTAACGTCTTGAAAATACAGCTCGTATCTCGCTGAACATCCATTTTCCGTGAAGTCCCTCAGTGTAAGCGAGGACCTGAATAAACAGTTTAAAGGGAAGTGTTGGTCAGTAAAATGTGACCAAAACTCAGTCTGACAATATCTTAAAAGTCCAGGGACGTCCAACCCGCAGCCCGCGGGCCACACGCAGCCCAGGATGGCTGTGAATGCAGCCCAACACAGAACGGTAAATTTGCTTAAAACATAATGAGAGTTTTTTGTGATTGCATGTCACAATGTATTTAATGAGTGGCCCAAGACAACTCTTCTTCTTCCGGCGCGGCCCAGAGATGCCCAAAGGTTGGACCTCTCTGTCCCAGACTGCGCTGTGTGACCGTCAGTGAGTGGGGGACCGTCTGCCTGAAGTCACTGAGTGTGGCTGGGAGGCCCGTGAGAATCTTGCAGGAGATGGACAACAATTTGAACACGTCACCTAAGATGTCATGTGGTGTGCTTGTGTGATGGTGTTATGTTACAGGTGTATGCTTATGGTTTTGTAATAAAAGATTTTTCTGTGATAAAAAAGGGGCGTTATTTGGGCCGGACCCTGTGTGTCCAACATTGTCAATCATCTGAGTCTATATATTTGCGAAATTTCTACCTCTCCTAAGTTCCCTAATTGGCTCATTAGCAAGCGTGACTTTCTGGCCTCGTCCCAGCCAGCTGGGCCGGCGGCCTGGCCCAGCTCTCGGTCCTCCTTCAGCCCCTCGTCTCCTCCTTCCTCTTTGCTGAGCGCCAGCCCGGCGGGCCCTGAGGTGAGCACGTGGTCAGCCCCAGGTGATGGGTCGTGACAGATGCGAGCCAGGGGTCAGGGAACATTTTTGGTAAAGGGCCGAATTGTACATATTGTTAGGCTTTGCAGGCCATGAGATCACCTTTGCCGCAGGACCAGGAAGCAGCCGTGGGCACTGCATGCGTGAGTGGCCATGGCTGTGTGCCATTAAAACTTTATTGACAGTGGCAGGGGTGGCCAGAACTGCCCCAGGGCCAGAGTGTGGCCGACCTACAGTCTCAGCCAATCATGGCAAAGCTACCCCTTGCTGCCCCAAATTCCCTTACGTCTCGGGGTAAGGACCTTTGACCTGGCACCACCTGACAAGAACAAAACCCACGTCAGCTGGGGAGGTTTCAGAAGAGCAGATAAAATGAGTCACATGTGGCCGGCCCCCGCCTCTCCCCTTCCTGCGAGAAAGGAGACTTGAGGGCAGAGACCGAGCAGCAGTGCGTGGCCGCGAGAGGCAGGCCCAGGAGCCGGCGGGCCGCCGCGCCGCCACTGCCGTCCCGGCAAAGGCCTGCGCACGCGGGCTTCTTGCTACACCATGCAGGGAAAGCCACGTTTTTAGGCTGCTCTAGCCGAATCCGCAACAAACACGCTCCCTCCCGATACACTTGTGTAGTGTTAACAACACATGAATGCACGCCCTACTCACCTTGGTTTTCTCTGTATAATCTACTACAGTGATGATAGCTTTGGTGCAAATGGGAACTAGTCATTGGGTTTTACATACACAGGATCCCTTAAGCTTTTAAAATAAGTTACGATGTTCCTTTCTACAACACATCTCCTCTCTCTAGGAATACACACACACACTACATGATCTATTGGTCTTTTTATTTATCTGTTTACATTCTCACCCAAAGATATGTTTATTGATTTCAAAGAGAGAAAGAGAAACATCGGTCTGTCGAGTCCCTCACGTGCCTCCGGCGGGGACGGAACCTGCGGCCGTCTGTGTCAGGGAGGACGCTCCAACCAGCGGGGCCGCTTGGCCAGGGCGGCCTTTTGAGTTTTTGGAAACTCCATTTTTTCACTCCTTAATTCTGTTTTTGCTTTTCTTTAGACCCTGGGAGGATCTGGGAGGCAGTGCAACATGTCTGTAAGCCCTGCAGCATTTGGGGGCCTGTCGGGTTCCTGTTTAAACCGTGGCCCTGCCGTGTGCTAGCCGTGAGGCCTTAGGAAGTTGTCTCACGCCGTCTGATGTCTGTCACGTGCAGAAGTGCTGCTGACACCTGTTACCAGTGAGTTTAAGCAGAGACAGTGAATGGGAAGTGCATGGCCTGGGATATCATCTAAGTTCTGTTCATAAGTGTTTGTCATTGTTGTTGAACATACTGTGACAATCATTTTTCAGTTTCTACATGCAAAACCTCCTATACATTTCACAAAAGGATAGGAGCGATTTGCCGCAGTTCATATGAACAAACACGTAGGTGGGTGCAATGGTTTCCAGATTTGAATTTCATAGACCAGTATAATTTTTTAAAATGGAAAGAGCACTAATACAGGGTTAACTTTTTGGTCGAGTAGGAAAAACTTTAAGGCAAATAAAACAGCGATGATAAAAACTACCTTTCACCATGACTATTTCACTAAAAAAAATAAAATAAAATAAAAATACTGAAACCACTTGCAAACCTAGATAGTAAAATGAGTACGATCTCAGACAGAAGGAACGATTTCCCCACGAACGCTGCGTTGGTGGCCCCGCGCTAAAGCAGAGCACACGTGCGTGTGTGCACGCGTGTGCACGCGTGTGCAGGCCCGCAGCCGCACTCGCCTCATCCCTTGTTTCCTCCTTTGGGCACCGTGACGTGCTGGCCAGCTGGCGACTCTCGCTTCCCACCCAGCACACTCGCAGTTTGTCTCACCCACAGAGGCAGGCGCGCGCGCACAGAGGACAGTCGCATCCCAGGCGCGCCCGCGCCGTGAGAATGAACCGGCGCCCCCCGGGCTCCTCTGCTCCTTTGCCGGGGAGGACACGGGGACCCTTTCCCGGCTCGGGGCTGGCTCGGTGGGCTCCCGCGCAGCCTGGGCCTCCCCAGCATCTCTGCCCCGGAACGGACTCACAGCTCCCAAGCGGGTAGACTGCCGGGAAGTTCCCGAGGACAGAGGCCCCCAGCAAGGCCCCAGGGCGACCTCTCCACCAGGCGCTGAGCGACAGCCGCGGCCCCCCACCAAGGGCTGGGGGCCCTGCCGGGGTCGGGGTCCGCGCGGCGGGGCCGAGGCCGCCCCTGCCAGGCCGTCCCGAACACCCGCGCACGGTCGGACTTCTCCCTAGTCCCTACGGACATTCCCTGGTTGTCACGCGCCCCCTGTTTAAATAGCTGTGTGGCTTCTCTCTCCTGATTGGATCCAGACAGAGAATGCAAACTCCAGCAGTTCTTTTACCACCACTTTTTTCCCCCAATTTTTATTGAGTTTATAGGGATGACTTGGTAAGTAAAATTAAACGTGTTTCGGGGGTACAATTCTGTCCGCCATCTGCATATTGTACGGTGTGTTCACCACCCCGAGTCGAGTCTCCCTCCATCCCGGTGCATCCCCGTGCCCTCTCCCACCTCCCCGCCCCCTTTCCTCCCGGCCGTCACCGCGCTGCTGTCTGTCTACGAGGTTTCTTTCCTCAATCCCGTCCCCTTTTCCACCCGGCCCCCCAGCCCCTCCCCTCTGACAGCTGTCAGTCTGTTCTCTGAATCTACGCGTCTGTTTCTACTTTGTTCATTAGATTCCACATGTAAGTGAAATCATATGCTATTTGTCTCTCTCGGACCGGCTTATTTCACTGAGCATAATGCTCTCCAGGCCCATCCGTGCTGCTGCAAAAGGTAGGATTTCCTTTTTTTTTTTTTTTAATGGCCGAATAGTATTCCATTGTAAATGGGATGCTGTGTAAATGCACCACAGCATTTTTACCCCCTTGTCTGCTGATGGGCACTTGGGCTGTTTCCAGAGCGTGGCGATTGTAAACAACGCTGCAAAGGACACAGAGGTGCTTACATTCTTTCAGATCGGTGTTTCGGGTTTCTCAGGATACATTCCCAGCAGTGGAATCCTGGCTCATAAGGTAGACGCATTTCTAATCTGTTAAGCTAATTCCATACTGTTTTCCACAGTGACTGTACCACTCTGCATTCCCACCCATCAATTTTGTTTCTGATCAGTAACTTAAAACACTTTTTCACGTGAAATTAACAGATACGCTGGAAATACACTGTAACAAACCATGCACCATGGAGATAAAACACTAGCGACCCAGGAAGCCGCTGACTGCCGCGCGGCCGTGGCCTCCGCCCCCTCCGTTGCTCCGGGGCCTGGGACAGCGGTGCAGCAGAGCGCGGGTCACCTGGTGAGAGTTTGCCGCCCTTGTGGGTGACCGGTCAGGATGCTACTTCAGGGAAGTGATGAGGAGTTTTATCAATTTCTACATATTTCAGAAATGTAAAAGAATGTCATTTATAGTTGATTACTGAGTTTAAGGCACATTTCTATAAAAATCTGGGCATCAAGCCCAGGTCTGAAATATGACCTGATACCATAATGTTGCCTGTATTTTATTTATACCTTTACTAGTTACATAATGTTCTATAAGTTTCAGGCCCTTTTCTAATAACCCTTTAAGTCTGTTTTTCATTAGAGTCCAGGATATGTTTCTAAACTATGGAAGTACTTTCATCTATACTTGAGGTTTTGTGGTTTTTGTTTTAAGTCAGCCTTCCCATACCATCTGGTTTCTGCCTGCCTGCTTCTCCAAATTATTTAATATACTATGAAATCTAATCAACAAATGCTAATTACCCATTCGGTTTCAGTTTCTGAGAACTGAATCTATGTAACTTTTATTACATCACATAGGTCGTAAACAAGGATATTAAAGCATCTTGACTCCGAATCTTACGGAACTTTGTCCTTTCTCTCAAGTGACCACTGAAGGATTCGGGACTCGCTGCTTCGCATCCAAGGGAGGCGCAGGGATGAGGCCTTCAGGGCTGTCCCCCCGCCCAGGCCTGCGGCTCCCCGGCGCTGAGGTGCACAGGGAGCGACAGCAAACCAGCGCAGCCCCTCGTAAGCCCCTCACCTAAGTGTGTGTGCTTAACACACATTACTTGACGACCTTGTTGAAGGAGCCTAGGCCTGCTGTGCGCTCATGGGTGTCAGACGCGTGCGTGTTGTCAGAAGCGTGTATATGCCTGTCAGACCCGTTACATCTTTTCTTCCTGCGCAGGCAGCTAATATTGCGCAACGTAAAAGGGACTCGCTCA